TGAGACTTCCTTGTACCAGATGTTTCTCCTTGAGGTCTCCACTCCCAGGGACAGCCCAGCGGTAATGAAAAGGGGACCCACCTCCCCCACCTTGGTTCTTGGGAGGAAGAGGAAGATAGCACAACACTGCAGCTTCATGAACTGCTTTTGTATTTGGGCACACACAAACACACACACACACCCTTCAACTGATGCTACCTCTGATCCCCGCTCTGAATTGGAGCTAACATGTAGAGGACAAATCACTCACTTGATGCTGCCTTGTAGCCTTCTGGACGTTTCTCTGCAAGGACAAAAATCAGTCAAAGCTAAAAAGGTCAGAGATCATCCAATCTCCCTCTGTAGGAGGAAGAGCCCCAGGAGATGCTGTCAGAGTTGTTTAGTCACAACCTCTCCTGGCAGCTACTATTTAAGAGATACAGGAAGACCTTCAGACTGCAAAGAGACCACCAGATTTGCTCCAAGAGAGACCTTCTGCCTCTGAGATGGATGGAGGGAAACGGGGAAAGCAGCAGCAACTGCGAGAGGAGGAAGATTTTCACTGAAATCCTCCTCTGCTGGTCTTTGACCAAAGCCTTTGGAAGGGACAGAACCGCAATGCCTCCTCCCAGCCAAGAAGAAGACTGGACTGTCCGGACCTCAGACTCCGCTGAGTCAAGACTGGAGTCCCAGCAAGAGGCCGATTTCAGATGCTCCCAAAGAGGGCTGGGAAAGCCGGGAAGAAGCCAGCCCAGAAGGAGCTCCCAAAGGGAGAGGCTTGGGAGGAATCTCCCCACCTTCCTTCACAACCACCCAGCAAAGGTAGTTACAGGACACTTACTGAGATACACAAAGATCACAACAATCACAGCAATCACCAGGACAACAGCACCCACAATGCAGCCGATGATCAGCCCCAGGTTGGATTCTGGAGCTGAATTGGGAGAAAGAGCAGATAATTGAAGAGAAACCATACCTATTGAGAGAAAACCATGGCAACCAACAGACTGGAAAATATTAAAACGTATTTGGCAACAGCATTCACTTCTTTGTTTACATATATTGAGTGCAAAGTAATGATTGGGGTTTTGCCCTAATAATCTCCATTTATTAAAAAAAAGGCCCTTGGAATCCTCCAGCTAATTCTTGACCCATCAACCCCTCAGCCTCACCAGCGAGATATATGCTAAGGATTTTGCTGTTAGGCTCCTTAACTGGCTGGATTCAGAGAACAACATACTGGAACAAACTGGATTTAAAACTGGCCACTCCCTCTATGATTGTGCTCCAGTTCCACAACACCTGGCCCAAAATCAGTTCCCAACCACAGGCTTCACTCTGTGCAGCCGTTATAGACTTTAGAGCAGCGTTTGGGCTACTTCCCAGCCCTCATCTGTGGCACAAATCCAAAACTACTCTAGAGAC